GTCAGGTAACTTGTTCACTCACTCCCAGTGAGTGGTACCGAGCTGACAGCAATCGAGGTCCGTGTCCCCCGTCCCCCCCCCCAACCGGGGTTCTCCCCCACTCCCGGAGGAACGGGGAGGAGGATCGAAAAAAAAAAAAGTGCGACTCCCACGGGTTGAGACAAGAACAGTCCAGCAACCAATGTACAACACAAATCACCACCGCTACTATCAACTACAACAATGATAAGGGAAAATAACAAGGGAAGAGAATACGATACCACCGGCCAAGAGAACGAGTTCCACCCAGAAGCCCGTGTCCTTCCGGGTAACTCCCAGTTACCCCCCACCCCAGCCATGACGTGCTGTGGTATGGAATACCTCCCTGGCTAGCCCGGGTCAGGCGCCCCGTCCCTGCTTCCTCACAGCTTCCCCTCCTCTCTGGCAGAGCATGAGCCTCACAAAGTCCTTGGTCAGGGTAAACATCACTTAGCAACAATTGAAAATATCGACTTCACCAACACTGTTCTCAGGCTGGAAGTCAAAACACAGCACTGCACCAGCTAACACAAAGGAAAAACATGACTGCTACTGCTGAACCCAGGACAAATAAATAGCCAGCTATAGCAATTACTAATAAGAACAGCTAAGTTTATGTTTAGATAGCTTCTCTGTTTTCAAGTTTCATGACCAGCAATTGCCATTAAGGCTATAACACTGCTATAGAAATGTTGGATTATTTCGATTACAGCAGTTATGTGTCTGGGTACATTTGAAGGTGTGGGTTGGTTGGTTTTTCCCCATTGCATTAAATGTAAGTAAAGTACATTCAAAAGGAAAGCATCTTTGTATCCACTTGTATATAGTTTTAGTCATTGCCCCTATTTTGTCAGTTTAACACTAACTGTTTCAGACAGCATGTGCACATCAGTAAGTTGCCCCTGATCTGTGTAGTGGGCAAGCTGGAGTATTTGATTTGTTTCTACCTCATATTGAGTGTATTTCTTGCTCTGAGTTCCAGACATACTGTAGATAAGCTCACGTAAGTATAGGTCTAAAAGGTAATCTTTTATAGAAAAGGGTAATATGAAGAGAAAATAAATGCAAAATAAATAAAGGATGCTTGCATTCCAGCTTGTTTTCCCCTAAGGTAAAATGTAAAGGCTGTTGGGAACAGCCTTTGAATTTGACCTCTGCCATTCCTGTCTGGCCAAGAGAGAGGCTGGGTCTCTTTTCAGAGAGATGCTGTTAATGTCTTCAGTCAAGACAGCATGATATACACCTATCTGAGCGAGTGAGATTATGTCCATCTTATCCCATTCTCTGAAGTATCCTGAATTTCAGTCTCTGCTACTTATTGCTCTGCCTCCTTAGGCAACAGTTAGTTCAAATGATGCCTATTGTATGTAGTATCCGAAATTACATCTGGACTTCTCTCTCATAAATTCACTTTTTGCAGCTCAAGCACATTACCAGATTGCTTAAGATGCAGTTACTTTTACTGCAAATTAACCCAAAGGATGTGCTTCAAAACTGACTCTCCTTAATAGTGCATGTTCTTTGCTAAAAGAATCAATGCAACTTTTAAAATATCGTCAACTTGAACTTAAGAAGCAGATGGTAATTTAGCATGAACCATTTGGTTTGAGTAATATATTGGCAGTAAAGGCCCAATCAGCTTGCACTGCATTCCATCTTCCCCAACAGTGTTATTTCCCAGAGCAGCACTTCTCAAAAATTATGTGCTTTTTTTCTCATCTATATGACAAGATATTGCAGTAATTTACAGGGGCAGAGCAGTTGACGTCATCTACCTGGACTTGTCAAAAATGTTCGACACTGTCCCACATGACATCCTTGTCTCTAAACTGGAGAGGCATCAACTTGATAGGTGGACCACTCGATGCATAAAGAACTGGCTGGATGGCTGCATGCAAAAAATTGTGGTCAATGGCCCAATGTCCAGCTGGAGACCAGTAACAAGTGGTGTCCCTCAGGGATCAGTGTTGGCACCGGTCTTGTTCAACATCTTTGTTGGTGACATGGACAGTGGGATTGAGCGCGCCCTCAGCAAGTTTGCCAATGACACCAAGCTGTGTGGTTCGGTTGATACACTGAAGGGAAGGAATGACATCCAGAGGGACTTTGACATGCTTGTGAGGTGGGCTGATGGCAGCCTCATGAAGTTTAACCATGTCAAGTGCAAGGGCCTACACCTGGGTCAGAACAATCCCAGGCACAGCTACAGGTTGGGCAGAGAAGAGATTCAGAGCAGCCCTGTGGAGAAGTATTTGAGGGTGTTGGTCGATGAGAAACTTAACATGAGCTGTCAGCGTGAGCTCGCAGCCCAGAACCGTATCCTGGGCTGCATCAAAAGGAGTGTGACCAGTGATCAGGAGGTGATCCTGACTCTCTGCTCTCGTGACACCTCACTTGGAGTGTTGTGTACAGTTCTGGTGTCCTCAACATAAAAAGGACATGGAACTGTTGGAACAAGTCCAGAGGAGGGCCATGAGGATGATCAGGGGACTGGAGCACCTCCCATACAAAGATAGGCTGAGGAAGTTGGGGCTGTTCAGCCTGGAGAAGAGAAGGCTGCATGGAGACCCCATAGCAGCCTTCCAGTATCTGAAGGGGGCCTATAAGGATGCTGGGGAGGGACTGTTCATTAGGGACTGTAGTGATAGGACAAGGGGTAACGGGTTAGAACTTAAACAGGGGATGTTTAGATTTCATATAAGGAGGAAGTCCTTTACTGTGAGGGTGATGAGGCACTGGAATAGGTTTCCCGAGGAAGTTATGAATGCTCCATCCCTGGCAGTGTTCAGGGCCAGGCTGGACAGAGTCTTGTATGACATAGTTTAGTGTGAGGTGTCCCTGTCCATGGCAGGGGGGTTGGAACTCGATGATCTTAAGATCCTTTCCAGCCCTAAATATTCTATGATTCTGTGAATTTGTAGCTTTCCAGGGTATTTGAGTCTTTTTGGAATGGGAAATCTAAAAAACCACCACAACAAATACTCTAGGCAACCAAATTAGGAGTTTGAAAATCAGTGCTTTACAGAAATTCACCTGAACCTGCCAATTGCTGATACCTTATCCTAAAATTGACAGTTTGTTTTATTACTGCAGTGCCCAAATAAAATAAGAGGCCAGATCTGTGGATAGAGATAGTACCTTTTATTAGATCAACTGATAAAGGTGAGATAAACCCCCTCACTTATAAATGTGTAAATCAAATCTCAAGTGCCAAGCCTTGGACTCCATCTAAGTGCTTACCTGCAGAAGAGTGGATAAGTGGCTCTTTTCCAAATGCCCTTAAGTTGCCAGGACTTAGGAGCCACAGGGTAACAGGCATGTATGTCCTTCAGCCTGCTCTGAAAACTGTAAGAAGGCTTTTTGCATGGGGAATCTCACATAGCCAGTGGTGACCTGAAGACTGATGTGTGGAAAGATGACAGCACAGCATGCTGCTCCCTGGAGGGGCCTGCAGTTGAGGAAGCATGTTTGGGGAATAGCTTCCCTTCAGGAAGGTTTCAGCCCTGTGTGTCACAGGAGATTGCAGCAGTGAGCCACACTCCACCAAGTCTGAAGTAAACTCTGCCAGAATCAAATGTCCTGGAGGTGGATGTGAGGTGCTTCCATACCAGACACTTCAAGCTGTTGATCAGTGCTTTGGGGAACTGTGGGAACTGCCCCCTTCTGAATTTCTTTTTTTAAGATTCTAACAAGAATTGGTGACTAGTGAAGTCAATAAGGAATAACTGGCATATATTCCTAGTACCCACTGCATCACACCATGGAAGTTAATAAGTGGAGCTGAATTAGTATGGTAGCATTTAGAGACAGCCAAGGAAACAGTTAAGGGTTAATGATATATGTGTGACACTGTGGAGTGCATACATGGGGCCAAAAGCTGAAGGGAGCAGATCACATACATCACTAGGACCTGGTATAATTGAGTTACCAATTCTTGCAGTTGTAACTAGGTGCAAAGTATGTCACAAGTATTCCATTTAAACATGGTTCCAGTGAGCTAAAAGTATGGCCAAATTCATATGTATTAGGTAAGCAGCAGGGTGGAGTTTTAGGGGATTTCTTTTTTTTGTAAGAATGAACTTCCTTTAGCCATGGCCAAGTAGTGAGTAAAGGACAAAGTATTAAAATAACATACTTTAAAAAAACCCTCATGCCTTCTTATCTGTCTTTCATCTTCTTAGGCTTCAATTCTCTCTTCCTTTCCTGTTCTCTCTGACATGCAAAACGAGAACAAACTGGTTTTGTTTGTTGGCTGTACTGTTACCTGAGATCAACATTATCGGCTTTGCTTCTTTCTTAGTAATCAACATAGGTACCCTGCAATATTAACTGCTCCTTGGAAGAGAAGATGCATCATCTGCCCTGGATGGGTTTTGCTGACCCATATAGTCTATTCAGACTGTTCTCCTTGGATTTACCTGTTTCTTTCTCCCCTCTAAATCAGGCAGAAGGGAAAGGTACTGAACTGTGTGAGAATATGACTGGAAAACAATTACACCCTCTTTATATCCTTCAGAGTGGAAAAAAGATTTGGAAGCTTTACAAATATTCTTCACATGCCACAAGTTACTGATTCCTACAGTGTATCTTTGCATAGATTAAAAATGTAAACAAATTCACTTTTGTTTCTCATGAAAGGTCATATTCTTACTGCCCAACACTTAGATTGTGATAACCAAACTGTGTCCTTATTTTCACTTTTGGAAAAGAGAAAAACACACCAGCTTTAAAACTTTTCTGGATTTAATGTGATGGAGAGAACTGTTTGTCTGAAAGGTGCCTTAATGTTTATGGATCCTCAAGCAGTTAGTTTTTAATCTTACAGATAGGAACTTGGAGGAAGGTAAAAATAGTTATGAATCACATTTCTTGTGTATACTACATGTATGCATTATATTTTAGGGGAGAATTGTATAATGTTGGTATAGGAAATGGTATCAAATGCATGTGTCTATTAATTATGTCATTTGATTTTTCAACAGGGTCTGTGTTTTAACGGAAGTGCCTTCATTTTGTATCTCATTGCTGCCATTGTAGATGCATCTTCAGTTACCAAGGAACTGGAGAGTCACAATTACAACAGCTGGGCAGCTTCTTCAGTGAGTTCATTTTTTGTTTAAATCAATTCTATATCCAGTAAAGTTGTATCAAAAGGTGCTCACTGGAAGTGTGGGTTGAAATGTGCGTGTCCTGGATTTGGAAAATCTGCAGACTGACACAGGAGCTCACACACAAAACCTGTAGGTAGCTGTAATTTAGTTCATGGTTTTTGGCTGTGACTAGAAATTCCACCAAGACATGACAGATCAGAAAAGGCTGTAATGTTTTTATGATCATACTGCTTTTCCCCTCCCTTGCCCCCTTTTGTTACTAGCTCTCTGACAGAGGTTACAGCCTGCACATCAGAGTAAGTGAAACAGACTATATAAGCACCAAGTCACTTAAGTGCACTTGGACAACTTCAAAAGCAGTTTAAACTGACTCAGCTAACTCTGCATGCATGTGGGTAAGATCGATTCAGCTTTTGTGGGCTAAGCCATATATACAGTGCCTTTGGGAAGGTCCCGAAGTGGTATTGCTGTTTCTACAGTGATCTTCCTGTTACCGCCTCATCCTTTGATAGTCTTTCTTCTGAGTTGGGTGAGCAGTGCCTGAAACATCATGTAACTTCCCAGTGTGGATGTAAATCATTAATTAGTCTTACTACTTAGATTTGGAAATCCAAAGCAGTCAGTCAAAGGGAGTGAAGGAAAAAAATCCCACCCTTGTCACTTGCTGGGTAGGGGAGCACATTCTCTAGCCAAGTTAAGGGAGTTGTAAAAGAACTTTTTGCACGTTGTGGCAACAGTGTCAAATTAAATTGTAAACAGTAGTTCTGAATTACAGCTACTTTGCTGACTGTCCATGCTTCTGCAGTTGTCCTCTCTGGACTATTCACAAATCCTGTCTTCTCTCTGAAGCTTATTGTATGTGGCCATGAACACAGAGACTTGAAGAACACCTGCTGTGTTGTTTTCTTGGGAATTTAGTAACTACGTCCCTGTCATCTTAGAGGTGTTCAGGGTCTTCTGCCATTGACAGTTTGTAACTATTGGTCTGTTACTCAGCCACTGCTGTTGACAGGAACTTGTTTGCTGCTAGATAAGCTTCCATGCTGATTTAGGTTTTATGCAAAATGCATGGATGCTCAGTGTCTCATGGGATGCTTGGTATCTCTTCTAATACCTCCTAGTAGTGCTTATCTGATGCAATGTCTAAATAAACTATTAAATGCAGATTCCTGATTTCTAAACACATTAAGAGTTTCATGGTTAGACATGTGTGAGAATTTAGCAAATCCTCTATCCCCAACAGTCATTCTGTTAAAGATTTTAGATGGAGCTTTTATTTCATTAAAAAAAAAAAAAAATATTGGAGAAGGTGACTGCTACAAATTTCTATTGCAATAAGATTTCACATCATCATCTACAGGTTTTGGTGCCACAGATTAAATTTACATTAAACAAGACTCACCAAGAGCCTGCTGCTTGAGGTCTTAGATTTGCTGCCTGTATGCATGCTTAGTGGCGCCCTGCTCTCAGAGCTGAAGTGCCCACCCAGACCAATGATGGTATATTAGCAAGAAACACTGGTAGAATCATAAAATATTTTTAGGCTGGAAGAAAGCTCTGGAGGTTGTCTGGTCCAATTCTCCCTCCTTTAAAGCAGGGCTAACTCATATCAGGCTGTCGTAGCCTTGTCCACTTGAGTTTTGAGTATTTCCAAGGATGGCTCTTTCACAGTGCCTCTGAGCCTTTCACAGTGCCTCTGAGCCTCTGTTGCCATGTCTGATTACTCTCACTGTGATTTCCTCCCTGCCTAATACCTTCTTGAAATGTCCCTTCTTGTAACTTATGCTTTTCTCTCTCATCCTATTATTTCTCACCTCTAAGAACAGCAGCATTAATTCTATTTGCAGTGTCAGCTTTATTTGGTTCAGTTACCAGCACAAAATATTCTGGGCTTGTCATAAGACCATTTTGAACATAGTCTGTTTTGAACAACATGTAGTGATTAACAGGAACTTAACCACTGGCACTGAGCTAGGCTTTATCAGTACCACTGAAATAGTTCACAGCATATTTTGCACATATGCTGCCACCAATACTGTGTAGTTTTAATCTTTAAACATAAAATAAATCTAGCCTGCTACAGAAGGCTTATTCTGTAACCAATTTCTGACAAAGTGGTAATATCTCAAGTGATTGCTGTCACCAGTGCTTGCACTGAGGAATACTTCAGTCACCAGTAGAGGACCTTTGGAATCGGTAACCTAATTGGTACTGCTGTTTGAGAACATGTCTGGGCCTGCATTTGAATCCACATTTTGCTCAGGAAACCGACCTGTTTTGACTCAGTGTGCCATACTGAGGTACAGGTGGGCTGTAGGCAATTCCTGGAACATAGCAGCAGTGCAGGAGTATTAGCTTGAGTTAATACTGTCCCATGGACTAACCATCAGTCTTTACCAGCAAGTGATGTTAAAAGCAGCAAATTTAGGATTGGTGGGAGTCCGATCTATAAGATCCATATTGAGGCGGTATAATGTGGAGATATGAGTTGAAATATGCCATATTCTGACTGCTTCTAGGGCCATATTTCTGTGTATAATATAATCTTGATTACATAGTGTGGCTGTGATGGCCACACAAGTACAAGAAGGTGGAAAAGTGCCATTTACTGAGCCTGTTTTCTCCTTTTTCCAAATCCATATCTATTTCTTTTTTTTCTTTTTTTTTTCTTGTTCTTTAATAGAAATGACAGTGCTCTCGAATATATATTTTTTCCTAATACGTATTTTTTTTCCCTTCTCTCTACAGTTCTTTGCCTTTGTGGTTACCTCCTGCTATGCTGGAAATACATATTTTAGCTTTATATCTTGGCAATCACGAACTTTGCAGTAACTATTTTGTTACAATGAAATCTGTAGTATAAAATATCCTGAGGATTATACTCTTGGCAAAAGCTTGGAAGAGGGATGAGGTCTTTTTGAACATTTCTGTTAGAATTGACACTATATTCTTTGAGATTAAATGATTATTTATAGTACAATACCATCTTTACATCTAACACTGTACTACATAGTAAAATTTCTTACTGCTTCTTCTAAAATTAACACCATATTTTTCTAGACATTGTATAGATGTTGTTACTAAACCTTTAATAAATCTTACTGGAAGAATGTGCCAATTTTTTTAAATGTAACTTTTTAAATGTTACAGATATACTTTTGAGATGTAATGCTACAGATTGAAACTAAGATGGATACTGTCTTGTTATTATGTATAAAAAGTGACACTGCAGGAAAAATACCACCCAAAACTTTTAAAATAAATAATAAATGACCCAACTGTGCATGTTTTGTAACCTGGGAGTAGAAGGCTTTTTTAAATTCTTTTTCATAGTGAAAGATATGCTACTGAGAAGTCTGATGAACCCCTCAGTTTGCAAATTCTAACAGCTTCTCACAGTCATGAGATTGCTTTTGGAACCTGTAACTGTAGGTCTGAAGCTTGCTGAAGGAATATTGTGCCTGAAAAACATTACCTTAACAGGTTTCATAAATCCAGCAGGCTCCAAGGCTTAAGCCTAGACGACAGCCCCTTGGTGCTCATTGTTTAACCTACTGAGAATGTGACAAAACACCTACAAAAGGTAACACATTTTGTTTCTCAGGGGATGGTGTTTCATTTCTTTTCTCCTCAGATTAGGCCATTAATCTGTCCTAATTAAAATCTGAGCTTCTAAATCCTATAGTATGTAATCCTCACATAAAACTATTGGTGAATCTTTTATTGCTGGATTAAGAAGATTTGGACTCTTTCCAGTCTTCCAAAACTTAGTTGGACAGTTATTTGGTAGCAGAGAAATCTTACTGCTTAAAAGAACTTCTTTATTCTTCCCTGTAACTAAATGGTATGCACTTACTTATGTGTGTGACCTGTAGCAAAGAAGACTTATCAACAGCCAGCTAATTCTGTACTTGGATCACATTGTTTTGCTCCTGATTACCTGTCAGAGTCACAGGATTTCAGTGTAAGGGAAGCCAAGATATTATTTAAAAACCTGTATTTGTCTGCACATTGCATCTGGCCCGCACAACAAAGGTCAGGCTGTCTGCTGCTGCTAAAATTATCCAGCTGTGAGAAAGAAGGGCTACCAATTATGCATATTATCTACACAGATAAAAACGTGCCATTAAAATCCTGTATGCTCTTTTCCATTGCTGGAAAAAAAATCAAAGGCATAAAAATGTTCCAAATGTCAACTGATAAAATGTGACTAGAAATATAGTGGCATTAAAATCTCATCAGGAATAATCATAGAATCATAGAATCATTGGGGTTGGAAAGGACCTTAAGATCATCTAGTTCCAACCCCCCTGACATGGGCAGGGTCACCCAAGGCCTCATCCAACCTGGTCTTGAACACTGCCAGGAATGGAGCATTCACAACCTCCGTGGGCAACCTATTCCAGTGCCTCACCACCCTAACAGGAAAGAATTTCCTTCTTGTATCCAACCTAAACTTGCCCTGTTTAAGTTTTAACCCATTACCCCTTGTCCTGTCACTACAGTCTCTAATGAAGTCCCTCTCCAGCATCCCTGTAGGCCCCCTTCAGATACTGCTTTAGTAGTAATAAAAATTCTTTCAAAATTCTTTTCAAAGTTCTTTGATGTACCTATTTTAAGTCCAAAGAATGTGACTATGTTTGCACAAATGTTTCATGATTTGTGGTAACTGTGATGGTCTGATGTAAAGTCACAACCCAGATGACATTTGTTGATAAGGTAGTAAAAAGGAGTAGAGCTAAAAGGGAGTAATATGTTTCATCCAGTTTACCAAGAACTGTCATGGAAACTGTGTGTTACATTTATGATTAATGAAGGACATTAATGAAGGACATTAATGAACCCATTAGTGAAGGACAAACCTGCATTATTACCAGATAAGGAATTATTCTCATAAAATATCTACCTCCTCTCTGAGTCTTCAATGCTCATCCTGAGGGGAAAATGTGCTGGTTTTGTTTTTGCAAATCATAACTTACCTACTTACCTGCCTTGCTCTTTGCTTTTAGAAAGATAATTATCTTGCTTCCTGTGCTCTTTCTCATCTCTCTCACTTCTCATCTGTTGCCCAGATACCAACTGGCTGTTTTTCAATTGTTCAATATCTAGTTAAAATTGGAGGAATCTGTACAAGCTGGAAATTACTTCTAAAGTTTGCTCCTCCTATTTCAGGCCTGAAGAAATGCATAAGCACCAAAAAGGTTATCTGTTTCTTCAGTGCATTAGTCTTAAATACAGACTTGCAAGCTATGACTTATGCATTTGTATATTCTAATATTGATAAAGATAAGCTAGCTGTGGTTTATCTTGTAACAAAACAAGATTTGTGCTTGAAGGCATTGCTTAGTGTTCATAAGATTGAAAGAAACCTTATTAAAAAGAATAACTAGTAAGTGATGAAATCATTAGTGAAATTCTTAATACAGATATTTATAAGAATAAACAAAATGCTAACCAATTTGTAAAGTGAAGGGATTTGACATTATAAATAACTTGTTTCAGACAAACGGTCTCTGAAAAACCAAAGTCAGATACTTGGTGTCAACTTATGGCCATCACATTTCATTTATTAAGGAGCTGTCGGTACCTTTTATCATCATATGTGATGCACTAAGCATGAAGTAAATAGCAGAAGAACTGTAATAAAACTTCAACTTCAGCCATGGTTTAGACTGACTTTGTGCCAGTAGTTTACAGAAGACTTCTCGGTAGCAAATGACTGCTGCTCTACTTGTATTACTTTAAAGGTTATTTCTGTTTCACTGCACAGAACTCAGATTAGCAAGGCCCCAGTTATATGCATACTTTCAAAAGAAGTTAAGAACTAGTGAAGCTGAATCAGTGTGTAAGAAAAAATGTATTTTTTAATAGGAAGTACAGAAGTTACTAGAATCTTCCTCTACAGGACTTGCAAAAAAAGCCTGTAAGTGTGCATGCTTCTGAATTTGAACTGTAAGAAGAACAAACCAAACCCCTCTTTCTCAGCAGCTAGCATTTTAGTGTTGTGGAAATGCAAGTGTTGTAGCTTTGATTATCTAATGACATGACCTAAAATTTGGTGGGATGTGTAATATCTTTTATTGGAACTACTAGCAGGGTTCATAGAAGCCCAAAACTATGTTCTGCTTAGTTGATTACATACCATTACCCAAACTGGCAAACCCTGGCTTGCTCATGTAAATTCCTTACGCTAGTCCCTTATTTGTGTTGGAGGTCACATGAAATTATCTGTCTTCCCTCATAAGCCAATGTAATTCACTGAAGGAGCTTTTAAATACTAAATGTGAACAGAATGTGCATCCTAACTGCAGACCAGAGCAGCAGAAGCTGGGTTACTACTCTCGTAAGTATAACAGCAGCACATGCCCAGCTCAGAGGCCCACTATTACCTCACTTGTAAAAAAGCAAACCAAATTATTTTTAAACTTGAGGAAATGTATAGCTTCCTTCCTGAGTTTTGTTAGTTATCTCTGCATGATTTAACTCAGAAACTGGGGCTGAGCCATTGGAACAATCGTTACAGTTAGCCTATTGCTGCCCATTTAATGCAAATGGTTTGGGTTTTTTTTACGAGATCATGAATCAGACGGTTTGAGACTTTTTTTGTTAGTGAGAATAAACGCAGCGTGGGCAGAGCCCGTTTGCAGCTGTACCTCCACAGTGAAGCACCGGAGCAACTCCCCTCCGACAACATCACCGACAAACTTTGACACGCCGACGGCGTCTTCCACCGTTCGAGTAAAGCTACTATGGTGGCTGGTTCGCTGCGGAGCAACCCTCCCTCACCCACACGATGTACATAGAGCCGTCCTTCTTTCTCCCTGTTTGCAAACGTTCCCTCCGGCCTCTGTTTTCATGTCACCCAGCGGCAAACGGGGACGACCCGGAAAGGTGCAGGGTGGGGAGTGCCGGGGCCGCCCCTCGCCTGCCCGAGCGCGGCTCCTGTTCCCAACCGCGAGACTGCGCCCCGGGCCCCGCTTCTGAGGCTGCGGCGGCATCCCCCCCCCCCGCGGTCACCCCCGCGGTCTCCCTTCGCCCTCCAACCCCGTGGCCCCTGCCCCGCGGCCGCGCCAGGCGGGGAGGTGCTGCGCTCCGCCCGGCCCCCGCCCGCCCCGCCGCCCGCCCCTTGCCTGCCCGTCTGTCCGGTCTCCCTGTCCCGGGCCAGGCAGCGGCGAGAGGAGCGCGGGAGGGAGCAATGTCTCACGGGGGGCGAGTGATCCGAACCGGGGTGAGCAGCGCGGGTCCCGCTGCATCGCCGGGCTCCACCGCCGCCTCCTCCTCAGCGGGCTCGGATGCGGAGCTCATGGACGGCGCCTATTTCCGCTCCTGCGCCGGCATACTGAAGGTGGCCCAGATGGTAAGAGACGAGCGGGGCAGGGGATGGCCGTTGGGACCCTCGGCGTTTTCGGGCGTCGCGCTGTTCCTCGCTGGGCGTTCCTTGTGGCGGTGGCTGTGGGGATGCCCATCGGGCGTAGCTAGGGTCGCCGTTCGTTGCTGCATTGACCGCGGCGGTTTTGCCGCTCGCTGCTCGCGGGAAAGAGGGAAATAAATCCAGGTTCCTCTGCAAAACGAAGCTTTAGGGTCTGTCAGAAGTACGCCCTTCTGTTCAGACAAACCCACGTGAGCCCAGAGCGACGCCAGTTTTTCGAAGCACCAAGTGATACTACCTTGATAATGGTAGCGTGGCGACGGTGAGTATTAACAACTTTTTGCCAGTAATAATAATGGTAACACCATGATGCGAAGGCACATCGTGCTCCAGTGGAACACCTCATTCCCTAGCATGGGTGAGCTTTTGGAAGGAAGTGAGGCCAAGTGCCAGTGCCAGCACGTGCACTAGTCTGGTAAGGGTGGGCACCATGGCTGAGGTGTTAGGCTGAGGTGGGCACCACTCGTCCAGCTGGCTCCATGCCCTGTCTGTCAGAGACCTCAGATAGAGAGGGGTGTGGGAGACGTATAGCTGAAAAGCAGAAATTCCAAATAAATGGATAGTAGAGGGCTGCCAGGACCCGAGCTGATGCCTTAACTTGACTCAATGCAGGAGATTTTGCTCCATCCAAATGCAAAGAGGATTAAGAGGCAGATATTCTCTTCCTCATTTCTATGGCACATAATCGTCTACAGAGTGATTTGTCAGTTTAATTACAATAATGGCAATGAATAATGGCTAGGAAAGACAATGTGTAACAATACCTCCTCACATACATTCTCATTCTGCAAAAACTTGTACTTTGATGACATTTTATGCTGCAGTTGTTCCCCAAAATCCATTTTTGCCTTTATTTGTCCAGTCATTTTTTTAAACTTGTGTAACTTATTAGCATCCAGACTCCTAAATTGACATTAGAAGTTAGGAATCATTCTTCTAGGTTACTGTGAAGTAATATAAGATAAATAAAGTTTTTCTTTAAAAGCCACCCAGTTTCTTCCAGTTTTTTAACAGCCATCAGCTGCCATTAGAATTGAGCCTAGAGTATCTTTTTAGGAGACAAATTACATTCTTTTAAGCATGTGTCTATGTTGCAAATGAACACATAGTCCTAAAAGGGTAGACTTGTGCTTTGCTGATGAGGTATAAGTCTATTTACCTTTTGCTTTCACCACTGTGGAAAGAACAGTTCCTTTCATGGACTAGAAATGCCTAGTCCTCTCTGCTCTCCACTCTGCTGTGGTGTCACTACAGCTATGACCTGTGACACAGCTAGCAGAGGCCTGCATATTTGTGCTGAAATTTCAGGTTCTGGTGCACATAGAGTGTGTCTATAAATATTTTTTCTGTACTCTATGTAAAAATATGTAATTTTGTGTAATGCTTCACATACTTTACATAAAGTAATATTTTATCAATACTGTTCAATATAAAATTAATCAGAACTTAAGCTAGCAGCTTTCTGTGGTAACTTTAATAGGAGTTAAAATAATGTAAATTAGTTCTCCTTAGGACTCTTTCAGCTTCACCTTCCTACATTTTTCTGCTTTCCAGCTTGCATGTAAATAACATCATTAGGAATTACCTCAGGTATCTAAGGAACTTTTGGCAAATTAACTTCTTTTAATATGGTTTCACAATAATGTCCTTTTCTCAAATAATTTCCTAAGAAAACTAAACGTTCATGCTGCAGTGGGTAGAAGTAATCAGTATAGTTTAGTTTTAGATTAACTTCTGCACCTGGTAAAATACGTAGAGATAAATATTTTCATATCTCTCCTTTATCTCTTTTCAGACAGTATTTCCACTGTATCCATGGGTCCATTTGTATTAGCATTAAGTTCTTCTAGTAAGAAGTGTTTGCAGTATCTTTCTTTGAAAAGAACTCTTTATGCTAAATCTATAAACATTCCTGCATTAGTGTTAATGTGGCTGGTGGCACTGCAGTCTTGCTAAGAAGGAGAACCATTATGCTGGCAGGGGACAGCAGTAAAATCTTTTGGGTTAGAGGGACATCACATTAAACTGCATACTGGGCCTCTGAATGGCCGTGGTTTTGAAAAGGAAGCATTACTGCTTCTGTTTTCTCTTTCTTCCTCAATCCCTTTGACCAAGAAGAAGGATGTGAGAGAGAACAAGAAAGAAACATTTCATCATTTACTGTAATATTAAGGGCTGTTTGCAGTGTTTGCAAGCTAAAAAAAAATAATCACTGTATGTGTATGGGCATGTGCATGAAATAATTCTAATAGATGACAACAATATGTTATGGAAATCACACAAAGGAAATGGAAGATACAGCTGTTGTTCTGTGCAAAAGATCATAACATAAGGACTGAAATTCAGCAGTCCTGGACAAGATGAAGAGATAGTGCAGTGATCTGGTGATTACTGAATTGTTGCTAATATCCAAATGTTACCAATGCTTTCTCTTTAAATCCTGAGTGCTGTGGTGTCTGGCATAGAATGAAATTAGGAAGTAAAACATGTTTCTTACCTGTAAGCCTGCACTAATTCCTGTTTTTTTGTTTGGTTAGTTGGTTGGTTGTTTTTTGTTGGTTTTTTTTTTTAGAATTTCTTTAACCTTGCAAACATGCACTTTATGCACTGGGTGCCTGGGTTTCTAATGCTTTGGAGTGGTCTGTAAATATTTTGAAGATAAAATGGAGGAGAAAGCATAGTTCTGTGACTTGTGTATTTTACATCGTAGTAAGACAGTTTGAAAGCTGTATTACTAATGTTAGTAGGGGCTCCATTTTCAAACTCTGGTCTAAATTGATGCTTTGGTTTTAACAGGAAGTTGTCAAGTATCTTCAACATCTAACCCACTTCACCTGGTTTAGCTTGATGGTGGTTGATGTAGCTTTTGCCTTGTCTTTCTTTTTTTTTTTTCCCTCCACACCTTATTTTTTCCCTCTCCCCCTCCCACCCCTCCTTATTTTTTTGTATTTGCAGCTTTGCTAAGGTCTCATATTCACAGGGATACATGCAGGATCCCGTTGTGGCCACCTTGGTTCTATAGCAGCAGCGTACTAAGTGTGTGAGTGGGTCTGTGTCAGTATGCACAATTCACTTACACCAGAGAAGTAAATAACTTTAATTTTAGCCAGCTTGGCAAAATCAACATACGTGTTCATCTTCAGTATGCCACCTAATCATGCTGATCTCTTTGAAACACGTTTGCTCTGTGTCCATGCTACTGCTGGTTAGTTTTATTGTAAGACTTTGTAGGAACATATGTTACTTACCTTGGCAAGTTCTCAGTAGATGGGTTCCTTGTAGCCTTTTGGGGCATTATGTGCCCTTAGAGACAGCAGTATGAATTTGCATTTGTATTGTCACCAGGGTGGCTCAAGTAGCAGTGTTCATAGGTTGAAGCAAGTCTGATCAGCAGAATTTCTTGTGGAGCCCTTACATACCTTTTTGCATTTTTACAGCTGAAGTCTGGAGGATGCCATAGACAGTGTACTGGACTAGGTCCTGCTTTCAGTACAGCCCATGTTTGACACTGGAGCCTATAGAGGTATCCCACCATCTTAGAAAGCTGGCTGGTAGGAATAGCTGTGATTGTATCACCTGTCCAGAGGGTCCAATGCAGAGATTTGCAAGAGTGTGACCAATACAGACTGAAAAGATAGAAGTGTTGAGAGCTCATATGTAGAAGGAGAGCCAGCACAGCCCATGCTTGTGTAGGTCTCTTGGGCTTCTCAAACTGTTCTTGGACTTTTTTGACTTTTTTGCCTTTCTTTCGCCACCTTCAGGTTGGGCCAAGCTAACTTGGACCAACCACTGTTCAGACTGAAGGTGATTGTTCCCACAGTGACACTGTTGTTACTGAGCAGACAATAGTTCTGGCACAGTAAGTACAGCCTCAGAATACAGGGTGGTTGAAGCTAAAACCAGTGCTGATTCTTTCAGCTCAAAATGAACCAGGAAAGAGCAGATTCACCAGACAAAAAAGAAGAAAATCAAAATTATCTTCTCAAGGCTGAAGAAAAAAAATACACAAACAATTGCAAGGTAATAAAGGATAAACTCAATAAAAGTTGACTTAACAACATCATTGTAACTTTTTAAAAATGCTAAGGTAATAGTTAAAGCTTTTCTGCTGAGTATCTGTGTAATTTCCTAAGCATGTCTTGACAAAAGCCATTGCATATTTCACAAGTGAATGGTCAAGTAGACAGTCTGTAATTCTGAGTAACTCTGAAGTGTGCTGAAAACTCTCTCCATTATTTGCATACTGACATACAGGTGAATAATAGTATTCAAGAGAATATTAATACATCTAAAACTGAAAACTAGAAAATGCTTGTAGTTAGATTTGCTGGAGCCACAATCAGTTTCTGGATTGGATGAGGTGTTGGATGACAACACACAAATTTGCTGGAGAGCTGTATTCAGAGGAAGGTAAAATATGAAAAGAAAGCAAAATATTTTAGTGGAAGAAAACAATAATTAATAAAAACCATTGGTACAAGAAAAGAAAATACACAAAAGCAGATGGTGCTTGGAATGATTTGAGAACTACTTATATCCTCTCACTTGATCTTGGGCCTGAAACACCTTTCTGTCCATGGAGGTAATTGAAGTAAAATGTCTCATACTTTGCAGCAGCACGTCAGTAATGCGTGATTTTGCCTGTATAGCAATAATGCTGCTCAGTCAGAAGAGAGGGATTCTGGTGATATGGTGATATGCTGAAACTGTAAGCCTGTCTCTGGGTCCTGTGCAGACTCCACTCTCAACTTTCCCATACTATCATTCTGTCTATAATTCTTCCTAAGGAAAATAATGGCCAAAGTAGCAAGTGTGGTGAAAGTTGCTGGATGCTAACCTACAAAGCTTAGATTCAAAAAGTTCTGTGTTCTGCTTGACTTTTCATCTGGCTGATAGCAGAAAACATGAAAAATAATGTCATAAGAATTATCAGTGGTGTCATGACGTATTATACAGAAAGTCTTACCTTGAGGCATTCAGGAGGCATTTTATATTTGCAAAGAAAACAATAATTGATGAAAACCACGCCAAGAATGTGCAGGTGTCTTCAGTCTGCAACTGTGTGATAGACTACTGGCAGAGCAATAAGAAATGGGACATGTTTTTTTAGCACTGAAGTTATTTTCAAGCCAAAGTCAGAGCTGTATGTTGTAGCTGCCAATTATTTTTGTTATTCTACTAGAAGCTGCAGTAAAAGGACCTTGCTCGACATGCTGAGCAAAGAGAAAAAATTATCTAAGTCTTAGGTGTCTTGAGAGTAACAAGGAGCACTTGAGTGAGGAATGTCCAAGAATGGTAACTAAAACCAACAAGTCTGGGAAGTCCTGTTACTCCCATGCCAAGATCACACAAACAGGCTGGCTTGGCCAGTTGTGGTTTTTCCATGCTCTGGGTGGCCATTTTACAGTTTCTGCCCAGGTAATTGCTTAAGAGCTGGGAGCATACAGTGTGTTCTGTGTGTGTTAACCGGGAAGCACTTGATGGTAAGTTGACACAGTTTTATTTGATGAGACAAAACTCCACAAGCAAAACTTGATCAGTTTAGTGAATTTTCCCTTTCTGTCTTGCCTCCATGCAGTCATTCTGAGCTGCACTGATGCAGTTGTTCACAAAGTTACACAGTAAACCAAACCAGGGAACTGATACAGTTTTACTTCAGCTCTCCTTCAGCTTTCTTTTTCCGTAAGAGTTTTTAAAGAACAGTGCAGCCATAGAGACTACTGTCAGCAAGACCAAGTGTCTGGCACATAAGGGCAGGAACTACATAAGACTGAAGTGGTTCCATGTGCTTCAAACCACAAACTGAGAATGTAGTCCTTTTTCTCTTGGGCAAGGAAAGGTTTTGTACCATCTGTTTTAATTTCTATCTCTTTCAGCAAAAAAAGAAACTAGTAATTTTCCTGACATTGAAACTGCTCTAGAATGCTAAAAAAAAAAAAAAAAAAAAAAATCAGCTCCAGTACATTTTGTGAAAAGACAATTATATTC